GACACAAGTAGCAATAAAGTAATGATGATCATCATTTTCTAAATGACGGCGGGTATGGCTAAGCTCATTGATTGAACTGACTTAGTGATCTTCTGACCCGTCCTTTTTAAAGTGACTATTGAATATTTACAAGCTCTCATTCTTAAATTAAGGTAAGTTCAAACTGGTTTTGTGAGTTTAGACACCAACAGAGTTTATTGAAGTATCTCCCTAAGCAATGTAGAGTTCCCTTGCGCACAACGTATTACACTTGAACTTGGCTTGTTCGGTCTGAAACTGACACAATGACATAAAGCAGAGAGTTTGCAAATAAAAAACTCGAAAAGCTGGACAAGATGCGACTCCATGAATGGTCAGCAGTTGGCTCTTGATTGGATCTGAGTTGACCAACTCTACCAAAATATGAGATCTTAGACAATCGCATAACTTGTATAGAGGTTGAATTGGCTTTGTTTTGTAGTTAACCATGGACTAGGAAATGAAATTGAACCCACGATAATAATTTAACTTTTGTCACTTGCCCTTTCTAAAACCTGACTTGGACGAAAATTTGTGTTATGTTATTGAATACATTTTTCTGTGAAAGACGGAGCTTCGACACAATTGAGTAGCACTTTCACCTAACCTAAAATTCTGTGAGAGAAATTTGTCTCCCAACGTTTATTCCAAGTTCACCATTGTGGATCTCCACTTGTTTGTAAGTCTATTAATAAAATTTTCTTTAATTCTATATATTAATTATTCAAATTTTGAAACAGAATCCGCTTAATTTACTCATAATGATTTGCTAGAGATGTCAAACTGGCTTAACTGTTCAGGGTTGATCCTAGTACTATCCATCTTAGGACCAGCCATGTCAAGTAGGGGCGGACGCAGACCTTAAAAGTTAGGGTGGCACAATCGAACTTACAAAGAAATTGGGAGAAATTTTACAATAAAAAATTTATGTCCAAAAAAAAAAATCATACCCCATATAATTTTACATTCGAAAATTTACATGAAATAGACTTTTTCGGATGTAAAATTTCGAAATTTTTTGATGTCACATTCCATATGAAATGATAAAAATTACATTGAGAAATTTGCCTCGCAAAAATAATAAATGGTAATGAAATAATTGAATTTTTTAAAATAATATGCAAGATAGACGTCTTATTTTAA